TTTCTAGAAGTATGTAGTAGTAGGCTATGAAATATACGTTTTTACATTAGCGAACCTTAAACCTGCTGAACCTATTTTATTATTTAAAAAAATAAAATAAAATAAAATATTGGTGATCAGCTCTCTGGAGAGTGGAGACTGGACCTCTTCAGCCTGTTGCTCTTCTCTTGGGCGAATTTCTAGAGAAAAAGGACCTTCTGAACATATCACGCTATTTATATATATTGTAAATCGACTACTTTGCCAAACCGTAAAAAATAAATATGTGACTGATATGTATGTTATGAGTATTTATTTTGGCAACAGGATCAAAACGTTATACTAACCGCTCGAAAATCAAGTGACCTAAAAGCAATTATGCCGTTTAATATATATAAAAATACACGTTTATGTTTATCGCGTATTTATCTCTGCCCTCTGGCACCAGTTAAAAAAAGTAAAAAATTATGGATGTACACGGCTGAGACGCCGTAGAATAGTTTAAGGGGTCTCTAAGCCTCTCAGGGAGGCCAACAATTAGGGGTAAAATCTCGAAGAACCAACCCTTCTAGCCCGCCAAAACCGGCCAAATATGCATGTCGCCCTGGAAGTAGTCACTGGTAATTTTCTCAACTCAATTTACTAGCCTCATTACGTTTTACGTTAGAACGTATGAACATCAAGAGTTTTTGCATTTAGGCTCAACGGGTACTTGGTTTGATGCTGTGTTCATTAAGGTGCATGTTTTGGGTTCTTAGGTGCAATATACAACTACAATTAAGCAACTTTAGTTCAAATAATAGTATAATAGGTGAGTCCCTTTCTTGCCATGTAACACATGATCACGTTCAAATACCAAAACGCTACAGAAACATCCAACGTATACGTCAACCACCATAACGAAATGAGGGCTGGCATTCCAGAGGGCCATGGAATGGCTTTAGCACGGTCACCATGCACTGCGAATTCCGCAGAGGGGAGAGCAACCAGATCCCAACTATTCAGGCCAGCTCTGAGCTGTATAGAAAATTATGGGTACGTCCGCAAACAAAGGTATATAATACATATACGTGAACGGTATGAACTTCAGGGTAGTGGTTGTAATGCTATGTATGTAACGGATCAGACATGCTTATAGTATATACACACACATATCCTGATACATAAGAGGCCATCTGTCCTTAGACCTGATACGGTATTCCTAAACATACAGTTTCACACTGCACCCGCGATACAATGACTACTGGATATTAACACGAGCACAGCATATATAAGTACAACCAATTGAGCTTATATATATGCAACACATATTCACCACATATATCTTATAAAAGATCATATCAGTCAGTTCAGGATGGTGATGTACTGTGTGCAGTTCTTTCTGCCGCTGTTCTTCCTACCGCGGTTAGTACAAGTGTTTCCTATTCAGTCCATATTCCTCTTTATATACCTTATGAGTATGATCATACATCATCGACCATGCACTATATGCATGGTAGCATTACTGGGTACATTAACGTTTTCATGTAACGTGAGCGACGATCACTGTTGGGTTGACTTCCTGGGGCAGTGGCCAGCGTCGTTGCCGGTGAAGACGGTATTAAATCTGGACTACCTGTTCATCGTATAAGCGGTATGTGTGTGTTTTGCAACTGGCGAATTATGTATTGTGAATATATATACATATATATATATATAACACACACACACACACACACACACACACACACATATATATATGTATATATATACATACACATATATAAATATATTCTGTGCAAGTATTGGTATTTCTATAGCATCTGCTATGAATTTATGTATGTGCATTCGTAGATAATAATATACATTTCTACACACACACAAACACACACACACACACACACACACACACACA